ATATCCTTCCAGTGACTGGTCCCTCCTGACAATATGTCCAAAGTATGAGAAACGAAGTATGGCCTCTAAGAAGCACTCTAGCTGCACATCTTCCAACACAGATCTGTTGGTTCTTTTGGCAGCCAATGGCACTTTCAATATTCTCCTCCAGAACCATAACTCAAAAGCATCAATTCTTTTACAGTCTTCTTTATTCACTGTCCAGTTTTCACATGCATATGAGGTTATTGAAAATACCATGGCTTGGGTCAGGCTCACATTAGTCCTCAGGCTGACATCTTTGCTCTTCAACACTTTAAAAAGGTCATGTGCAGCAGATTTGCCTAATGTAATAATACATCATTTGATTTCTTGACTGCTGCTTCCAGGATTGTTGATAGTTGATCCAAGAAGAATGAAGTCCTTGACAACTTCAATCTTTTCTCCACTGATAAGAATGTTGTTTATTGGTCCACTGGTGAGGATTTTTGTTTTCTGTACATAGAGATACAATCCATACCGAAGGATGTGGTCTTTGATCTTCTTCATTAAGTATTTTCAGTCCTCTTCACTTTCAGCAAGCAAGGATGTATCATCTTCATATCTCAGGTTGTTAATGAGTCTTCCTGCAATCCTGATGCCATGTTTTTCTTCATATAACCAAGCTTCTTGGATTATTTGCTCAGCGTACAGGTTGAATAAGTATGGTGAAAGAATACAACCCTGTTGCACACCTTTCTTCATTTTAAACCATTCAGTGTTCCCGTGTTCTGTTTGAACAACTGCCTCTTGGTCCATGCACATATTCCTCATGAGCACAATTAAGTGCTCAGAAATACTCATACTTCGCAATGTTGTCCATAGTTTGTCATGACCCACGCAATTGAAAACCTTTGTTTAGTCAATAAAGCATAGGTAAACATCTTTCTGATAGTCTCTGCTTTTAGCCAAGATCCATTGGACATCAGCAATGATATCCCTCATTCCACGTCCTCTTCTGAATCCGGCTTGAACCTCTGGAAGTCCTCTGTCAAGTTCTCTGTATACTTGCAGCTGTTTCTGTATTACTTTTAGCAAAACTTTACTCACATGGGATATCAAAGATAGGGTCCGATGATTTCCACACTCTGATGGGCACAAATATGGATCTCTTCCAGTCAGTTGGCCAGGTAGTTGTCTTCCAAATCTCTTGTAGATGAGTGAGTGCCTCGAGTGCCGCCTCACTTTCTTGAAAGATTTCAATTTGTGTTCCATCAGTTCCTGGTGCCTTATTCTTTGCCAATTCCTTCAATGCACCTTGGACTTCTTCCTTCAGTATCATTGGTCCTTGATCATATGCTACCTCTTGAAAGGGTTGAACATCAACCAATTCCTTTGGTACAGTGACTCTGTGTAACTTTTCATCTACTTTTGATGCTTTCTGCATTATTCAGTAATTTTCCCAGAGAATCCTTCAATAATGAAAATCTGGGCTTGAATTTTTTCTTCAGTTCCCCCAGCTTGAGAAATGCTGAGCGTGTTCTTCCTTTCTGGTTTTCTGACTCCAGATCTTCACATAATTTGTTGTAATTGATTTTGTCTTCTCGAGCTGACCTTTGAAATTGTCTCTTCAACTCTTGTACCTCCTCATTTCTTCCATTTGCTTTAGCATCGCTACATTGGAGAGCAAGTTTCAGTGTCTTTAATCTCCTTAGGGTGCTTTTAAAAAAAAGGTCCAATCTAAACAACAGCTTCTGAAGGAATCTGTTTGACCCATTCAATTCAAGCAGCGAAGTCAGTTCTGAAGGTTATGGTGATCGTATTTTGGGATTCCAAGGGAGAAATCTTGATAGATTTTCTTGAAGGAATCAGAACCATCATGTGGACTGTCAGAAAACTGAAAACTGCATTGGTGTGAAAAATGCCAGGACAGTACACAAAATAATTTTTCTCCTCATGGCACTGCCCTTGCTAACTCCTTGCTGATGGGGAGGACTTATCTATAAGAATTCCACTGGGAAACCTTACTTCATTTCCCAATAGCCCTGATCTTGCCCCTTCAGACTTCATTTTGTTCCCCAAAACTCAAAATAATATTTCAAAGGAACCCAATTTGAGGTCCTTGAAGGTACCCAGATTGCCATTTTTACATGGTGTAAGTTGACAAGCACAGAATTCTTCAGAGAAGAGATATATGGAAATACCACCTTCAGAAGTGTGTATCCACCTAGATGGAGCATGTGTTGAGAAACAATAGCTTCACACTTTGATATTTTTGTTTAGTAAAGTAGTCCTGATGTGTCACTGCAGGATAATGCACTGAAACACTAGGTCACTTTGAACCGCTAGGTCGGTGGTTCCAACTCAACAGCCATTCCTTGAGAACCTATACTGGATCACTTTGAGTTGGAACTGATTTGACAGCATTTAACAACAACAAGAACAACAAAGGGATTTGTGATTTGATAGCAACACTGTCTGACTTACCCTTTTCTATTGAGAAGGATAAAAAATTCCCTTTTTTCATTTATTTGTTTAAAAATATTTAAGGAACAATTTTCAAGTATAGAGAGATAATCTCCTTTGGATTTGAAAAATGATTGCACGAGAATTTTCTTTTTCTGTCAAATGGATGTTTTTAAAGGTCGGAATTTAAAGAGCACAGTTCAAGATTCTGTTTAGGATAGATAGGATTTACACATAGGTGGAGTAAGTCATTCAGCTATACAAATTGATATGACACCCAAAGAAACGCCCCACCTCTCTGCCTAATTATATTTCCACTAGTGAAATATCCATGTGACTGAATCAGGACTTTGAATTTCATGATGGAGTCAAATGCCTTAGAAAAATAAAATGTATCCCTGTTTAAATCTCACCTAGTGGTTCAGTCTAGTTGGTGTGTAAAATAAACAGCCAGAACCTAAAAGAAATGTGATACCTAGGACTTACTTTTTGTATCAGGGAAGTCAGAGTATGAAAGTCCATGATTTGAGTATAACCCATCAAGTCCAGAACAGATCAAGGCTAGGAACTTGGTAGCCCATGGAAACCAGGCCCCTGCCACATAAGGAACGGTGCTGTGTAAAGTGAGAAAACACTGCCTTCTGAATTCTCTTAAGTGTCAGTTAGGATTGTGCCTAATTAGGTAGAATTAATGAGATGACATGACTGAACTACTCGATTATATTTTCGTCACAGTCCTTCTGCCATAATCTCACAAAAGGAAAACATCTAATCCTATTAGTAAGGATGGTTTAAATAAACCCAGTTGCCATCTAATCACTTCTGACTCAGAAATCCTATGTGTGTCGCAGTAGAATTGTGTTCCATAGAGTGCTCAATGACTGTTTTTTCAAAGTAGATCACAAGGCCTTTATGGTGTAAATGTCGTTGCTGTTGTTGGGTCCCTTCATTCTGACTCACAGTGTCCTTGATTCTGACTCACAGTGACCCCTGTGACAGAGCAGACCTGCCCCATAGGGTTTCTAGGCTGTAATCTTTGCTGGAGCAGGCTGCCAGGCCAGTCTTCCTGTGGAGCCTCTGAGTGGGTTTGAACTGCCAGCCTTTTGGTAAGCAGCTGAGCACCTTACTGGTACTGGTGGTGGTGGTGTTAAATGCCATGCCGTCAAGTCGGTTCCGACTCATAACGACCTTGTATAAGCTCAGAGGAGCAGCTGGTGAGTTTGAACCACTGACCTTGTGGTTCAAACTGAACTCTCGATCCAGTGCTTATCCTACAGTACCATACTAAGACTCCCTTACTGGTGTAAATAGATGTCATTAATTTTAAAGTTTCAGTCAGATGTGATTTGTCTAAGGTTGGTGGATGAAAATAGTTTTATACACTTTTCAGGTCACCTACTATGTGCCTGTTGTTAAGTGCTGTTTAGTCAGTTCTGACTCATAGCAACCCTGAATAGAGTTTTCGAGGAGTGGCTCATGAGTTTGAACCACCGACCTTGTGGTTAGCTGTCCAGTGCTGATCGTACAGCACCACACCACTATATAAAACAATCTCAAACTCATCAGAGTGTGTTACTGAGGGTGTCTCAGTATTATTTAAATGAGGTGGGGACTCCTCATTCAAATAATAATTGTATACCAAAAGCTGTAATAGAGAAAGATAGTTTAAAATGCAGAAGATCAAAGGAAATACAAGTTAGTGTGATCAGGAAATGTCAATATGGTGGAACTAAGTCTCTAAATCAGGTGGGAATGTCCGAACCCTCAGGACATATAAGGAATGAGAAATCATTTGGTCTGGCCCTGCCAATGCAACCACACTTCCAGCTAGCCCATTGTTGCTATTGTTGTTGGTTGTTGTTGTTGTTGTTAAGTGCCATCGAGTCAGGTCCGACCCATAGCGACCCTGTACAGGGTTTCCGAGGGTGTAAATCTTTACTGGAGTAGAAAGCCTCATCTTTCTCCTGCGGATTGTTGTTGGTAAGTAACATGAATTCCGTTCCAACTCATAGCAATCCTGTTATAGGGTTTTCTGACCTTGAAGGTAGAGTGCTTATCCTATAGCACTACACCAGGACTTGTAGCCATCACATTAGGGGTGAGTTAATTAGATGCTTGACCAAATATAGTAGGCTAATTTTTAAATTGATGGTTTTGTATGGCCTGCAAATGATGCTATAAATTTTGGCAGATAAATGATTCCCCACCCCTGCTCTAAATGGAGCAATATGGATTTGAATATGAAGGGGCAAAAATAGGATGATTCTCTTATTTTGATTCTGCAGATATCCTGATTTAGGTTTCTGGTAGCGTAGTGGTTACAAATCGGGCTGCTAACCTCCAGGTCAGCAGATCAAAACTATCAGCAATTCTACGGGAGAAAGATGAGGCTTTCTGCTCCCATAAAGGTTTACAGCCTCGGAAACCCTATACACTATTGTCAAGTTCAAGTCTGGTGGCAGCTTTGAGGGAACTTTAATTTTCTTTAAAATTAATTTAAATATTAATATGTAAGAGAATTCATACCTTAGTAGGAGTAATTCATGCAAGAACTTAAATATCTCATCTCTTTTCAGGTGTGTCTGCACAGCTCACCAGCACCTGTCATCGTCGGAACACATCTGTAGGAACACCATTCTGGATGGCTCCTGAGGTCAGACAGAGAATTGTTTGTTAGTTTTTAAATAATCTCTGGAGAAAATTACATAACATATAGTTCCCCATTAAAAATGTACAATTCAATAATGTGCTGCCACCACCTCATTTCAAAACATTTTCATCACAGCAAAGTAGAAGCTCTTACCAATGAAGTAATTTCTTCTATCCCTCCAGACCCTGGCAATTGCCAATTTGTATTATGTCTCTGTGGATTTACCTATTCTGGAAATTTCATATAGATGTTATTGTTGTTGTTAAGTACCATCGAGTTGGTTCAGACTCATAGTGACCCTGTAAAGGGTTTGCAAGCAGCGGCTGGTGAGTTAGAACTGCCAACCTTGTGATTCAAATTGACCTCGTGGTCCAGTGGCTTTTTGTATCTGGCTTTTGTCACTTAGTATAATGTACTGTGGATTCATCCATATTACATAGCATTTATCATTACTTGTTTCCTTTTTAAGGCTAACTAATATATGAGCTCTGGTAGCGTAGTGGTTGCGAATCGGGCTGTGAACTGCAAGGTCAGCAGTTCAAAACTACCAGCTGTTCTGTGGGAGAAAGATGAGGCTTTCTGCTCCCGTAAAGATTTACAGCCTTGGAAACCCTGTACAGGGTCGCTATGAGTCAGAACTGACTCCACGGCACATAACAACAACAACAATATTCCATTATACTTATGAACCACAATTTATCTATTCATCGACTGATAGAAATGTGGGCTATTTCTACCTTTTGGATGTGGACTTACATTAGTACTGTTTTCATTTATTTCACTTATATACCTACTAGTGAGATTTCTGGGTCATATAGTAATCCTGCATTAACTTTCTGAGTAACCACCAAACTATTTTCACAGAAGCCAGGCCTTTTTACCACAGAAGCCATGCCTTTTTACATCCCCACCAGCAACGGACTTGGGGTCCAATTTCCCAACATCCAACACTTGTTATTTTTTAATTTTCTTTTTATTATAGTCTTCAGAGTATGTGTGACCATAATAGTACCCTGTTATGGTCCTGGTATGGTGCTGTGGGTTAAGGCATTTGACCGCAAAGTTGGTTTGAACCACAAAGTCAGTGGGTTCAGGCTCACCAGCCGTTCCATGGAAACGCTATACAGGGTCGCCATGGGTCAGAACCAACTCAGCGGCACTTAACAGCAGCAACAGCAGTAGGATAAGCACTGGACCAAAAGGTTGATTTAAACTGCAAAATCAGCGGTTCAAACTCACCAGCCCCTCCTCAGAAAACCTATTCAGGGTTGCTATGAGTTGGAACTGACTTGATGGCACTTAGCGATAACAACAGAAATGATTGATGATGTTGAGCATCCTTTATGTGCTTGTTGGATATTTATCTGTGGTGGAAGAAATGCCTTTCTTTAGTCCTTGTCTAATTCTTAAATTGGGTTGTTTGCATTTTTGTTAAGTATTAAAATAAAATTTATCAGATAAATCAATTGCAAATAGTTTCTTCCATTCTTTTCACTTTCTTTATAATGTCATTTGATACATAAAAGTTTTAAATTTTGATAAAGTCCATCTGTCATTGTTTGTTTTTTATTTGTAGTTCATGCTTTTGGTACCATGTGTAAGAATCCTTGCCAAATCCAAAGTAAGGAAGATTTTTATAATAATCAAAGTAAAGAGGTTTTTATAATTTTAGCTCTTACATGAGGGGTTTTTAAAAGGATAATGGAATTTCTCCATGAATTTTTGGAAGCCCCCTCATATTTAGGTCATTGATCCATTTTGAGTTTGTTTTTGTATATGGTTTAAGGTAGAGAGATCTAACTTCATTCTTTTCCTTGTGGAAATCCAGTTGTACTGAACAGTCACTATTCCTTATTGAATAGTCTCATGAGACTTGTTGAAAATTAACTGGACATAGTTGCATAGATTTACCTCTAAACACTCAATTCTATCCCATTGGTCTATCTTTATACCTGTTTTTATGCCAGGATCACATTCTTTTGCCCTCTATACCTTTGTAGTAAGTTTTGAATTCAGGAAATGTAGGTCTGTCAACTTTGTTCTTTTTCAAGTTTATTTTGGATATTAAGGACACTTTGCAATTCCATAGAAATTTGAGGCCCAGGTTTTCCATTTCTATAAAAAAGACTGCTGGAGTTTTTGATAGACTGAATCTGCACATTGCATTGGGAGGTACATTTTAATACTGATTAAGTCTTCCAATCCATGAACACAAGATAAGTTTTCATTTATTTAGATACGTTTAAAGTTTGTTCAACTATGTTTTGTATTTTTCATCTCCTTGGTTAAATTAATTGCCAAGTATTTTATTCATTTGAATGTTATTGTAATGGTATTGTTTCCTTTATTGCCTTTTCAGATTGTTCACTTCTGGGGTGTAGAAGCACAACTGAGCTTTGTATTTTGATCTTGTACCCTGCCATTTTGCTAATAAACATTGTTTATTAGCTCTAGTAGTTTCTTTTGGATTCTTTGGGGTTTTCTTATGTAAGATATTAGATAATTTCGTATGCAAATAGAGATAGTTTCACTTCCTCCTTTCCAATCCGGATGTCTTCTATTGATTTTTCTTGTATAGTTGCTCTGGCTAGAACTTCCGATACTGTTTTGAATAGTAATGATGAGAGCAGGCATCCTTGTCTTGTTCTGGTCTTAAAAGGAATGCTTTCTGTTTTTCATCATTGAGTATGATGCTAGCATTTGGTTTTCCCTAAATGCTCTTTAGCCTGTTAAGGAAATCCCCTTCTGCTTCTAATTCTGATGTGGTGCTGCGGGATAAGCACTGGACTGCAAAGTCGATTTGAACTACAAGGTCAACAGTTCAAACTCACCAACTGCTCCTCAGAAACCCTATACGGGGTCAGAAATGGCTCGACAACACTGAATAAGAACAGCAGCGAGAATTAGAAATAGAATAGAATGTTCAATTGTGTCACCTGCTTTTTCTGCATCACTTGAGAGTATCATGTTGTTGTTTTTATTAACTGATTTTCCTATGTTGGAACACTTCAGATAAAGTGTTGAGAGAGACAAATATTTTATTCTTTCTGGATTTCTTTTACACATTTATTTTGTCATTACATATGTTTTGGCATAGTCTAGAAGAAAATGTTACTTGTCTTGTTATTGAGAAATTTTTGCTTGTATAAATAGTAGCATATGATATGTTCAATGAAAGAATTTATGAATAAATGAGAGATTGACTTAATGAGTGAATCAGATAAAGTAAAGAGATACTACTTGCATCCTTAATTTTTCATTCAATGTACTTTAAATTAGTTAGCATGTATTTATGTTAATGGTATTGATATTCTGTTTTTAAATGAGAAATATGGTGAGATCCCGTAACCTTTCTCTAGGGCTGGTTTCCATATTGAGGCCTGGTGGCTGTGTTCAGCTTTAGTAGATTCTTTTTGCCATTACTTTTGAGAAGTTATAGATACACTGCTATAGTTAGAAAATATGTTTTTTAGAGTCACATCTTCTCCCCATAGTCACTATTAATGCTGTTATATTTACCAGTAAGAAATATTTTTTTTTTTTTTAATGCTGTTAGCAACATTTGGGAAAAGCTCTGCTATTTATCTACAATTTTCTAGGGAGTGAAGGGAAGTGGTGGAGTAAATCAAATACAATATGAATATTGCATAACCACAGAATTAAATTTGCTTGAGGATTAAATCTTGATGTACTGTTTCTATTTGAATACTAATTCAATTAGTACTTGTACAAAAAGTTTAAATGTAAACTTAATGTAAAACATGGAAAGAAAATAAATTATGTTAAAAAAGTTTTCTAAAACATCCAGTGGGTTAAAAACCTTTTAACAGGGATTATATCTTAGACTAAAACTAGGAAGTATGGTCATATAAGAACAGTCTTGAATAAGGGAATCTCAAATGAGTATCTTTGAAGTTTGTTCTTGTATGTTGCTTATATTCTAACAGCTTATAAAGAAATGTTCATTAATGAGAAATTAATAAAAATAGACTTATAGTTCCAAACTTTTGCATTTGCTGTACACATATTAATGAAAATACATGAATGGCGTACATTCTAACTTTATAATTTCATATATTAATTTGCAGTAGCAGAAAGCCATTATTATATATTTAAGTTTGCCATTTAGTAAAGCAGTTTTGATTAGTGGATCCTGGAACCACTTTAATCTATGAGTAATGGGAAATACTTTTATCTATTTAAAATCTAACTGCCAATGTATTCAAGTAGTTAGTAATTAAAATTGACATTCCTAATACACAATTAGGAGTGGTGCTGTGGGTTAATGCTCTGGACTGCAAAGTCATTTGGACTGCAAGATTGGCGGTTCAAGTTCACTAACCCCTTCTTGGAAATCTGTACAGGATTGCTATGGGTCAGAACCAACTCGATGGCACTTAACAACAACAATGCACAATTATTAGATAATCATTTTTTAGAGAGATTATTTTTATTATATCTACTATAGCACAAAAAGGATTTGAATGTGCTTTGATTCTTAGCAAACTGAAGGGTATTATATAAAAGAACGAGTCCTGTGGTGGCACTATAGGATAAGCACTGTACTACTAATCATAAGGTCAGCAGTTTGAACCCACACAGCCGCTCCTTAGAAACCCTATACAGAGTTGCTGTGAGTTGGAACCATCTCAACGGCACTTAACAACAGCATTAATTTTTAGCTATGCCTTTGAGCACAATTGTTTTCATTTGGGACACTATTTCTTCCTCCTTTCTGTTTTGCATTTTCAAAATATTTTTCATGGGCTACTTCTTGAGGGGACTTCAAAAAGTTCATGGAAAATTGGAATTAAAAGATAAAAATAAAAACATGAACTTTATTTTTCAACTGAAGCTCCATCAAGGTCAAGATGGTCCTGTAAGCAATGATGATGCCAGTATTTGAGACTGTCCCTGGGAATGTAACCATGTCAACGCAGTCTTTTCCACATTGCTAACTACAGAAAAATGGATGAACTTTAAAGATTTGCTAAGCTTAGAAAACAAAAAGAAGTCAGAAAGAGTCAAATCAGGAGTGTTTTCCTATCAGAAATCTTGCAAAATTTGAAAGGAATAAGCATGAACACAATTGTTGTGTGGGACTCTGGTGATGCTTTCCTGGGTGTTGTTCTGCGAACGCTTTGGCTACCTGTCTCAGGACACTCTCATGATAAGTGAATGTTGCCATTCTTTGGCCTTCAAGAAAGTCAACAAGCAAAACTGAGCAACCCAAAAACCTATTGCCTTGACTGGTGGTCTGCTTTTGCTTTGGCTGGACCAATTTTCTCTTATTGTTAGCCATTACGTTGATTGCGTGCTTTGTCTTCAGGATCATACTGGGAAAGCCTTATTTCATTTCCTGTTATTGTTGTTGTTAAGTGCTTTCAAGTCAGTTCTGGCTCAGAGCAACCCTTTATAGGGTTTCTGAGGAGCCGATGTTGAATTTGAACTGCTGACCTTGCAGTTCAAACCAACCTTGAGGTCCAGTGCATTATCCCACAGCGCCACACCAGGACTCCTCATCTCCTGTTACAATAATTAAAAGAAATGCCTCAGGATCTTTATCCCACTTCTTTAAAAATCCCATTGAAAGCTCTGCTCTTGTCTGCAACTGGGGCACAACAGTTTTGGCATCCATCTAGCAGACAGTTTCCTCAAGTTTAATTTTTCATTCAGAATTGTGCAAGCTGAACTAGTGGAGATGTCTATGGTGTTGGGCATTGTTTCTGAGTTAATCGTCAGTACTTTTCCATTAGGGCACAAGATTAGAACACATTGATGTAGATGGTCACTGCTGTGAATTTCATATTCAGCATCATCTCACCCAATCTTAAATGAGTTAACCATATGTAAACTAGTGATTTCTTTGGGGCATTGTCCCCATAAATTTTCAGCAATGCATCAGTGATTTCACCATTCTGTCAAGCTTCACCATAAATGTGATGTTTGTTCTTGCTTCAGTTTCCACAGAATTCCCGTTGCTCTGGTAGGGGTGTTTGGCAAACTGATACCTTGTCCTTCTTAGTGCTTCAAATACACCTTGTTAAAACATGTCGCAACAAGTTAGTATGAGTTGATTTGGGTGGAAAAAAATTTAAATCCATGCATAGTTTGTTTTTTTAAATAAAATACATTTTCCATGAACTTTATGACGACACTTATTTGAAAAACTGCTGAGATATTCTGCTGTCAAAATACGCATAATAATAATATGATCTTTTATTCTCCCAAGTTACAATTGTTAACTTACTGCTACTAAACTTCATCATTTTAAACACATACATGTTGTTTCTTGATATTTTGCATGTGCTTGCCAAAGTCAAGAACTTTGCTTCCTCCATCTCTGATGCCCACTTTTTACTAGGTGATTGCATGTGAACAACAACTAGATACCACATATGATGCCAGGTGTGATACGTGGTCCCTGGGTATCACAGCCATTGAGCTGGGGGATGGAGACCCCCCACTTGCAGATCTGCACCCCATGAGAGCACTCTTCAAAATACCAAGGTCAGTAGATGAACATCTGCAGCCCAGTTTTTCTCCCTGCAGCGGTGGAGCCCTTCTCTTGCTCATCATGGAAATAGTCTAATATATTCCAACAAGATGGGAGCAGAGTGGCCTTGGAATATCATTGTGTTTTTGTCAAGACATTTGTTCAGTCATTTCATTGCCCTGGTCAAAGTAAAAGAGCTTCCTCTTGATAATTGGTGTGTCTTGCTTCCTTTAGCTAGGAGTTAGTCTCAGAAAATAGCAGTTCACCCCACTTTCCATCCACTCCTAATTGAGTCAGTGAAGTGGACAGGCCCATGTTCAATGAACTCATGATATTCTTTGCTTCACTCTACTCCATGGCCCACCACCACCACCACCACCACTACCACCACCCCAAGTCTAGTACATTTTTTTCCAACTTACTAAGACATTTCTTGGTTTTGAACTTTACAATGAACACATTCTTTTAAATATTATAAAAAAAATATTTTAAATGTGTTAATATGTTGAATGTTGTTGTTACTGCTATTAAGTGACTTGGAATAAGTTCCAACTCATAGTGACCCTGTTATAGAGTTTCCAAGGAGCAGCTGGTGAGTTTGAACCACTGACGTTGTTGTTCAAACAGACCTTGCAGTCTAGTGCTTTATCCCACAATGCCATACCAGTACTCCAATATGCTGAATACGTTACTATAAAACAATAAATGGAGTAGAATACCTTCTCTGAAATGCTGAAAGCACTTTACTATTTATGTAGACTCCTCACCTTTTGTAAACATTCCTATACTTATCCTATTACTAATTTCAGGTAGTCCTGATTTACAACAGGGCTCTGTTCTGATGACTCCATTGCCATTTAGTTGTAAGTCAAGTATCTCGTTATTTTAATTTTTTTTTTTAGATTTCATTATAAGTGTCTTTTATTAGTAGTATGTCTTTATAACTACAATGCTTATTTGCCTTTTGGACTGGTCATGAGTTTGATAATATCAGCAAATTGCACACTGCAACGTTGTATATGGTACATATTGCTAACGATAACATATACAAAGTATGTACATTGCAACATTATATGTTGTATATATATTACTTATGATGCAATGCTCAAAAAAACCAAAATGAGTAGGTGTAAGTGCAGTTCATCATAACCTGAATGTGTCATAAGCTGAGGACTACCTGTACTTAAAACTCCATGTATGTTTTGATTAATTTCTAGTTATTTCAGAAAGCTGATGTAAGAGCTGTCTGTCTCTATTATTGGAATGTCATCATTTGAAGGCCTTTAGAATTTGGGCTGGAGAATGCAAAATTACATGTGGAAAGCCCCGGAGGGGGAGCATTCTAGTCCTAAAGAAATAATGTTAAAATGCTATATTCATTTTAGAATAGATTAATTTTAATATTTGGCATGTAATTAAATTAGTTTGGGGCTGAAGCATTTCAACTAGGATTTAAGTTTACCTTTGAATTTCCTGTTGTATCTGTAAGCTCCAAATTATAATACCTTAGCTATTTCTCATCCTTCACATAACAGTTTCAATCTGTATCTTTAGTCTTACTGCTGTAAAATAGGACACTTGTTTTGGAAGGAGGGGAACCAAGGTTACTGAAAAGAAATGAAAATGTGCTTTGTACAATGTGAAAATATTTCATTAAATTTAAGGGAAAAAAAAACAAAACTGTTGTTTTTTTCCCCCAACTCCTACTCTTACTATGTAAGATGAAACGCTATAGTTCTTGGGTTGTTTAAATTGTAGTGTAACCTCCCATATTTGACCTAATTTTATTACTCATAGTGATGACATGGCACGGAGGAGGCACCATGTATAGATACATATATAGGAGATACGTCAGTAGCTCTGGTAGCGTAAGTGGTTGTGAATTGGGCTGCAAACCTCAAGGTTAGCAGTTCGAAACTACCAGCTGTTCTGTGGGAGAAAGATGAGGCTTTCTGCTCCAGTAAAGATTTACAATCTCGGAAACCCTGTACAGGGTCGCTATGAGTCAGAACCGACTCCACGGCACATCACCACCACCACCATAGGAGATGCATATAGGAGACGCCATACCTAGTAGTAAAATAGTTTTGGAAACTGTATCACCTTAGTCATTTCTCATTATTTCTACCACCAGCATCTCTCTGAGAAGCTTGGTGGCTCTATAGGATAAGCGCTGGACTGTGAACCACAATGTTGATGGTTTGAGTTCACCTGCCAGTCCATGGAGAAAGATAACACTTTCTGTACCCACAAAGATTTAGTGCCTTGGAAATCCTATGCAGGGCGAGTCAGAAGCAACTTGACAACAGTTAACAAACTCTCTCTCTGAAATGAAATTCTGAGAATACAAGTTTGCTGAAATAATTTTAAGTACAAGTGTTGAAAAGCTACCTAGGTCTAAATGTTTTGCAATCATCAGAATTTTGTTCTACTCAAAGCAAGCCAATACATTATGACAAAGGAAATTTTCAGGAGGACAAGAAACAAAACAAAAATGTTGGTAAAAAGAATTATTTCTTTTAATGTGCAAATCAGCAATCTTCAAATAGTTCTAAGGACAGTAAAATGAGCATTAGAGAGGATGTATGGTCGATGAGTAGCTGCAGTTTTCTTTAATGAGCCTGGACAAACTGTACATTAATTTCATTGTAAGCTATTTAAGGAGTAATGCAGAACTGAAGGCAAAGTCTTTCCATTCCACTAATGAAAACAAAGAGCTGTTAGAATTAACATAAAGCAGCACTTCAGCAAATTCAACTATCATGGTTGATCAATGTTGCTTGATTACAGAGTTAGGACGGCCTCATTTTCAAGTGATGTTCCTTTGTACTCAGGAACATGCCCCCAAAGGAAAAGATTTGTTTGGCTTAAAATGAAAAGAATTAATAACAATTTTTTAAGTGGCATTCAGATACTTATCGCTAATAATATTCCCCAGTTCCTTACTTTTGTAGTCTTGCTTCCTGCCATATTTTCAGTAACAACAAAAAGCCAGCAACTCATGAAGCATTTTGTTCTATGGTACTCCTCTCGGCTCTAGCTTCCTTCAGATTCTAAAGAAATTCTTTTCAGTTCACCTCTGTTTATCCTGAGGTACTAATTTTATAAATCTTCCAGTAGAAACATCTCTTGCCTGATAGTCATTGTTTGTCGGCTGCTAAGTATTGATGTCTTTTCCTGGGGCTCTCAGGTAAAAGTAAGAAAATACTTTGAAAAACAAAATGAACAGTTGGAAAAATTGGGTCATCTATTCAGTGCTTTCAGAGAAATAAGGGGTCTGTCATTTTATATAAAGAATGATTAATAACTCATTATCTGTCTTTGAATTGAAAAATGATGGGTATATTTGATTATACTTTCGCAACCTGTAATTGCAGGTTTTGGCTCCCATTTGGTCCTGAAAACCAACATGTATGTCTCAGTCTCTATTTTTATTTGTTTGTTCTTTGTTTGCTTGTCTGTTTTTAGGAATCCACCTCCAAAATTAAGGAAATCTGAGTTATGGTCAGCAGAATTCAATGACTTCATTAGCAAGTGAGTAATAAAAGGCCTGCGGTTCAAGCTCACCAGGTGCTCCTTGGAAACCCTATATACAGGGTCTCTATGAGTCTGAACCAACTCATTGGCACTTAACAATAAAGGTCTTTAAAAATGTGAAAAAATAAGCAATAACGTGGTAGGTCCCAGGTTACAGATACCTGACTTAAAGGCAACTTGTACTTGCCTTTTAATATTTTGTAAATTTGTCCTCACGTAAAACAATTAAACCAACTCTTGAAGCCAAAAATCCCAAACCTATTGCTATTGAGTTGATGCTGGCTCACAGTGGCCCTATATAGGATTTTCGAGACTGTAAATCTTTACAGGAGCAGACAGCCTCAGCTCTCTCCCACGGAGCCACTGGTGGGTTTGCACTGGCAACTTGTGGTTAGCAGCAAACCCGTGATGCCAACAATAGAACCAACCCTTATTTACAAGCAATTCTTCATCACAATCACCTTCGCTTGCTACAAGTGCAGCTTGTAAATCACTGAAAAGGCTTCTAACCTTGTCTTGCACTAACCAAAAAAAACAAAACAAAACAAAATCCCAAGCAACAACAAAAAAAACAAGCCTGCTGCCTTCCAGTTGGTACTAATACATTGCAACCTTGTGAAACAGTAGAAATGCTCAGTAGAGTTTCCTAGGTTACAATCTTCTGGGAGCAGATCCCCTTTGGTTCAGGGAGTTGCTGAGTGGATTCGAATCGCCAATCTTCAAGTTAGCATAAGGCACTTAACTGTTGTATGATTAGGGCTCATCACAAAGTACTAAAACTTCAGCCCAATTTCCAAAGTCTTTTAGGATAGTCAGCAGTAATTCTGAAGTGATCCCCAGGATTGACCAATATGCCTCATATCTACAGATTTTTCAACACAGATTCTCTGTGGAACTTAAGGACTCACACACATAGCTTCACTTCTGTGAAAAGTTTCCTGATCTCCATCAAGCAGTTAGTATTCTCTCCTTGCTTCTGTCACTGTATTTTATTTACTTAGCTTACCTTGGGTGCCTCTCCCTGCCCAGACTTTTGTAGGCAACTCTGGGGCACTGAATGTACCTTTCATCTTACTGTAACTCAGGTTTCTAGCGGAGTGCCTTGTGACGTTTTATTTAAATGACATAATTTCATATGTGACTACTTAACTGGCCATGTCAGAAACTAAAATCTTGTTATTTTCAGCCATATTCATTTTCAGACATTGTCATCCTTATCTCTTAACATATGTTAGCATCCTAGGAATTGCTGTATTATTTAAGCCCAATGAGGTAAATTGCCAAATTATCATCCCTAGAAAATTAGCAGTACTGATTAGAAAGTGCACTGGTCAAGCCAAAGCATGTTGTATTTGTTTTTCTTTTTAATTATTGTAAAATTATATATAACACAGCATTCAATTTAGTGATATCAATTACATATATAAATTATATATAGCACAGCAATTCAATTTAGTTATATCAATTACATTATTCACTAAATAATCCTTGCCAAGTTTTCCATCACCAAAACCAGAAACGCAACTGCTTCTTAAACAATAATTCCCCCTCCCTTCTGCCCGTGATATCCACTAATAAACTTTGATCTCTATCTTTGTTTAAACCAAGGCATATTTTTGTTTTATTATGTTTTGTTTACAGATCCACAAATAGCAGTCCAATTCTACTCAGTGTTCTCATGCTCATAAAACTGCAGAGTCTTGGGGTTGGAAGGATATTTGAAAGTTGTTTAGCCCAAACTCATATCCAGAGTTTAAATACCTCTCAAATGTGCTTTCCAAATTGTTATCCTGTCAATACTTAAAATGTTTCTAATGACAATAATTATATTCCCAATATGGCCCTTTCCATCTCTGAATAAGCCTCACTGCTAAAAATGTCTTTCATACTGACTTGAAATCTGTTTCTCTCTTGATTCTTACCAACTGCTGTAAGGGATGCTATGAGTTGGAATCAACTCAATGGCAGTGGGTTTGTTTGGGGTTGGTTTTTTTTTTTGGTTTTGGTGATCTGGATCTAATCCTGCTCCCAAATATTTGAAGCCAGATGTCATGGCTGATAGCTTCCTCATACCCATAATCCCTGGAGTCTACTCAAGAGTTTATCACAATGAACTCATCAATATTGTCTTTTCAAGAATTTCATATAATTGGAAGCATGAAATACGTAACATTTTAGATTGGTTCCATTTATTCTACATAAATATTTTAGTGTCCATCCAACTTTTTGCATGTATCCAGGTTTGTTCCTTTTTCTTGCTAGGTAACGTTCAATTGTCAGGATATTTCTGACTGTGTTTTTTAAATGCAGTAATATCTCAGATGCTCCCACTATCCTTATCCTTTTTCAGAAATATACTGTAGTTGAGCCTGCCAGTGAGATGCTATATGCACTGGTTCATAGTCATATGGACCTCAAAAAAAAAAAAAAATCACGACTGACTCAGAATGTAAACATCCTCAATACATTTTACCATCTCAAATGGGTTAAGAATTTTATCATGTGGGGAAGAACAGATCAATTGAGAAGCCTTTAAAAACATTAATGAAGAGAAACAGCAAAGTTTGCTTTAATTTTAGATAAGCGTTAGAACTGTAATGAGTTGGTTATCATTTATCTTTGGCTGCTTGTAGAAGAGGCTTTGTAGTGGAGACAGAGTTTAATTGTGACTATGCAATAATGCTTACTTGGAGACTAAGAAAGTGGTGTTTAGGTGAACATTGGTTTCACAACAATATAATCATTTCTGTGTGTGTACATTTCCACAAACACTCATTTTTTCATCATATTGCACTTTGAACTTTTTTTGAGGTGTGCTTCTTGAGCTGAGCATTTGTGTGGAAGATAGCTCTCTAGTGTTAGACTAGCTTTCTTTTCTTTTTTTTTTTTTTAATTAAGACTGAATAATAGTTTCAAACCTCTTGTAGCTTATCTAATAATTGCATGTTCTTTTTTGCCAGTGCAGGTGCTTGACTAAAGATTATGAAAAGCGCCCAACAGTGTCAGATCTTTTGCAGCATAAATTCATTACCCAAATTGAGGGCAAAGATGTGACGCTACAAAAACAACTCATGGAATTCATTGACATTCATCAGCGCGTGGGAAGCACAGAAAAAGCAAGGTAATCAAATGGCATCTTGACTCCAAACATCCAACTATTTTTTAAAATTCATCAACTTTATAATGCAATAGTGGGTAAGATGAGAATGAGTTTATTTAAGTATCCTGGTGTGGTTTAAGGAGATGAAGAGGATATTTGCATGAAAATTAAATAACAAATGTTGAATTACATTGTGGTTTTGGTAAAACTGCTGCAATATTTTAGATAAACTGTGTGTTTATAACAACTTCATCAGAACAAAGAATATAAGCTTTAATAGATGTTTAGCTGAGGTGTATACTTTCTTGTATTTTCTGTTCTTCTAAAACTTAAGAGGACTTAGATTTGATATTTAAAAAGGAACATAAATCTTGATTTTGTTGACACTGTTATTTATTGGAATTATTTTCCCTGGTTGAACTTATTTTCAAAATTACCTTTAATATCTTTCTTAATACCTTATATTTGAATTAAAAAATACTCTTCTACAGTGCTTTAAGAACATTAATTTGTTTTTGCTTATTATAAGCACTATTGATGTCTGTTTTAGATAATTTGGAAGATACAGAGAAGTTCACAACAAAAAACTAATCAAGCATAAAATTTAATCTGTAAACTTATAGTATATTTCTTTTAAATGAACACATACTGCAAAACAAAATTGGCATCATGATTGTTGTTTTTTTAAGTTTTTATTGTGATTTGAGTGAAAGTTCACAGGGCAGATCATCAGTTTTACATTCAAAAATCATATACTTTGTTTCATTACAATGATTATATCCCATCCATATACCATCAGTTAATAGTATTCCTCTCTATTCATTTTAGCTCTTCTTTTCCCCCAAACACTCAAATAATTATAATAATATAATTATTAAATTATAATCAGAAACCCTGTGCAGGGTCACTATGAGTCGGAACCAACTGCATGGTACTTAACAACAACAACAACAATAATTTAAACCACCAAAGTGCATATTCTGCAAGCCTGCCTCCTGGCTGCCAGCCTGCCTTCTGGCTGCCAGTTCTCAGTCCCTCTCTGTCCATGTGTCTAGAGTCCTCAGCTGCTTCCTCTCTCCATGTCCCCGTCTCTGCCTCCATCTTTGGTGTCGCGGCTTCTTTGGATAAGGTCTCGCATTCCACTTGTGCTCTTCTCCCTTGATGGTTCTAGGGTCCTCTGTTCCTGGAATTTAAGATTGACTACTCCCCTGTTTTTCTAAATTCCCGCTTGAAAACTTGTAAGCCAGTGACTTCGTGCCTTTATCGCTGCCTCATTTTAAGTAGCCAGTGTCTTAGTTACCTGTCCCTATCTACCCTGTGTACAGAGGAGATAGCATTGATACTTGATGTGAAGACTCCTTTCCTCTCTTGGTATTTGGCATGATGTTTATATGTGCTCTGGAGTCTGCCTTCTTACACTTTATAGTGAATATCCATGTTGTTCTCACCCAAGATTTAAAAATACTTCTCTACTATTAGAAATTTAGGTTATTACTAATTATTTATATTCTTCTAAGTCCTGGTGTGGGTCTATGGGATAAAGCACTGGACTGCAAGGTCAGTTTGAACCACAAGGTCAGTGGTTCAAACTTACCAGCTGCATCTTGGAAATCTTACATAGAGTCACTATGAATCAGAACCAATTTGATGGCACACAACTACAATAAGAAGTTAACACTGTAGGGGTCCTGATGTGGTGCTATAGGATAAGCACTAGACTAACCACAAAGTTGGTGGTTCAAACCCACCAGCCACTCCTTGAAAACCTTATACAGGGTCAGTATGAGTCAGAATCGACTTGAAGGCACTTAACAACAGCAACAAGAAGTTAACATTATAGGAGTCCTGGTGTGGCACTGTAGGATAAGCACTAGACTGCTAAACACAAAGTGGGTGCTCACATCCACCAGCTGCTCCTCCAAATTCCTATACAGGGTTATTATGAGTCGGAATCAACTTGATGACACTTCACAATAAGTAACACAATAATAAACAGAATTGTACATACATCCCTTATTGTCGTTGGATACATTTCTGTAGGTTGTACTGTTGAGTCTTTTATAATTTAAAGTTATTCTTAAGAATCTTTAGTTTCATCTTATGAACATATCACTATTTAGAGGGTTGGGACAAATGAGTAGAAAATAGAACATGACTTAACAGGCAAGAGCTAGAAATACAGTTATATTCTAATTTCTGTAATGGGTTTATGTATCTAATTACTATTTATTTGAGATCTTGGATGTGCCCGATACTCTACTAGGGCTTTATTTTTGTTATTTTATGTAACTTCACAACAACCCTGAGGGAAAGATTTTGTGATACCCAGTTTGCACAGCTGAGAAAACCCGGGTTTGTGGAGGTTAGTTCACGTGTGCAGGGCAACACAAGTCATGAATGTCTTGGTATTGCTAGTTGTCCTCAGAGCGATTCCAGTTCATATATGCAGACGTCCTGTGGGCAGAGTGTAACTTTTCCATAGGGCTTGCAGATTGGTAGGTCCGCCCTCGGAGGTGCTCTGGGCGAGCTCAGACTGCCTCCATGTCAACACTTAACCGTTTATACCATCCAGGGGCTTAGTGAGATCAAATCGTGATTTTAGTCCCAGGAATAAAGGACCTAAAGCTGATGAGTGACCTCAGAAGATACTCATCCCTGCCTATGTGAGCTTCCAGGGTACATTGAAAGCATTGGCAAAGCACAAGGCTCCAGGACTTGTTGTGTTGTGAAGTGCCGTTGAGTCGATTCCTACCCATAGCGACCCTGTATAGGGTTCCCAAGGAGCAGCTGGTGAGCTTGAGCCATTGACCTTGCAGTTCAAATGACTTCGTAGTCTGACGCATTAGCTCCTTGGAAACCCTATATGGGGTCGCTATGAATTGGAACCGACTTGATGGCACTTCACAACAAAAACAATGTAAGTTTGCTGCCTCTCTGGAAAACAAATTCATTTCTGAAGGTAGTAAGTTAAAATGTCAATAAAGAATGAAGCAGGCTTGTAGATTATAGTTTAGAGTGATTTTATAGCAAACTGGTCATGGGGTTCCCAAATGCCCATCTTTAAATTTTTGTGTAAATGAAGTTCCATAGTCTGCCACAATCACTCACAACCTCACCCTTCTCAGGAAAAGATAAACAACCAAACAAGCAAATAAACAAAACTTGAGATAAACCAACAATGTGTTGTTGTTGTTATTGTTGTTTTTGTGTGCCTTGGAGTTGGTTCCGACTCATAATCGACCCTGTACAGGGTTTCTAAGGCTGTAAGTCTTTACAGGAGCAGAAAGCCTCATCTTTCTCCTGCGGAACAGCTGGTAGTTTCAAACTGTTGATCATGAGATTAGCAGCCTGATGCGTAACCACTACACTACCAGAGTATGCGCAATATTTAGAACTATGAAGAATCTCAGATTTTATCCTACTTGCAAGTTAACACATTAACCTGTCATGAGACTCCTAGATAAGAGACAAAAACAAACAAAAAACAACGACAATGCTATTACTCACAGAGTAGCCAGCGGCTTGAGTTTTATGTTCACATTAGTTTAGCCTCACCACAGCCCAAGGGTGATGTGGAATGATCCAGGCATATGCTGTATACACAATAGGTTTGCCTCACAGTTGGGAAACCTGAGCTTGGGAAACCCCACTCTTTTAAAGTTAGGATTGCTTGTTGTTGTTGTGTGCCGTGGAGTTGGTTCCGACTCTTAGCCACCCTGTATAGGGTTTCCAAGGCTGTAAATCTTTACGGGAGCAGAAAGCCTCATCTTTCTCCTGCAGAACAGCTAGTAGTTTTGAACTGCTAACCTTGCGGTTCACAGCCCGATTCATAACCACTATGCTACCAGAAACCCTGTAAAACTTTGCTCTGGAGAAGATGTTATCTTTGTTGTCCTTAACAGCAAACAAAAGTTGCTTTTGTCTTGAAGGGAGATACAATCTTTATCTCCCAAGGCTGTTTGCGCTACAGATATCCTTGACAATGTGGTTTGAGACTGTAGCTAATATGAAACATGCAGAAAGCAATTACTTCCGGACATTCAAACATCATAAGCATGGTTAAGTGCCACATCGAGGAGGTCCTGACTCATAGAAATCCTGTATAGGGTTTCCAAGGAGCGACTGGTGAGTTTGGATCGCTGACCTTGTGGTTCAAACCAACCATGCAGTCCAGTGCTTGCTTTATCGCACACTTGTTGTTAAGCACCGTGGAGTCATGTCTGGCTCATAGTGACCCTGCAAAGGATTTCTGAGGCTGTAAATCTTTAGGGGAGCAGAACGCCTCATCTTTCCCCCACAGAACCGCTGGTAGTTTTGAACTGCTAACCTTGAGGTTAGCAGCCTGATTCGTAACCGCTATGCTACCAGAGCTCCATTATCCCACACTAAGTCTCCAAATATTTACATTCTAAGCCTGATGTTCTAAGATCCCATGATTAAAAAAATAGTTGAATTTTTTCCTTATTTCTGTATATTCTTAGTTTGGAGGCTTTACAGTCGCCACCATCTGGCTTCAAAAGCCCATAGTCCAAAGCCTTTTGGTCACTGTGATTTATAGATAGTGCAGATCTAGTCTCTAAAAAAACCCGTAGGGAGTTGTTCCTACCAGAGATGCTGTGTCTTGCCATCTCAGACACCTGACTTCTTGTATAAGGCAGTCACAGGAAGAAGGTACAGATTTTTCAGTCTTCCTTTCCAGGCAAGGAACTCTCATCAGCTCCATTCTGTCAGCGAAACTAGGCCAAGACCTTCATTGTGAGTGGAGAATCTTGGTTCCTTTACCTTCCAGGCCTCTTCTGGCTGTTTCTGGCCCTGGACTTCCCATAGCTTGTAGGTTCTGCCGTCTTACCCAGTGCATATCCTATTCAATAGGTCCTTAATAATGCTCGTCTAATTCTAGAGCATGTCCTTAAAATTTTTTTCAACTTAAAAATATGAAAAACATTTTATATTCCATGTGTGTTTGCAGAGGGTGGAAGCAAAGTTTGAAGTATAAACTCACAGTAGTATCTTGACCCACT